CAGGGATAACGTTCAGAAAAATGGACACAAGACATTGTTTATTTTCAAGCATAGCACCACTGAGCACATAGAACGTTCAGAAAAATGGACACAAGACATTGACTGTTTATTTTCAAACATAGCACCACTGAGCACATATCCACCTCAGTCTTCTTTCCTAAACAGTGCCTTGGTTCTACCTCATAACAGCACAGACCTTTCAACTCTATGCAGAATAGAGGTCTTCTTATACCTGCAGGAAGGAAGTAGGTGTTTGGGCATAATGCTACATTGTGAAGAACACCTCTTTTGGAGCATAGATTCCCAAGAATTCAGGTATCATCTACAGTAATCTGAATTAGTATAAGGCCATTACTTTGATGCTGTTCTGGAAGAAGCAATGTGACAATGTTTTTTAAGTACTGGTGAGTCACAAAGAAAGAGCAAGTAGAAGCCTTCAAAGATTTTAAGAATGCCCCGATAGGAAATAAAATCAAGAATAGTTCTGTAAAAATGAACTGACTGTGTTATTTTGGAGAATTTTAAATGCAAATGCAATTGATATAGTAATGGAAGTAGCACAGATAGGCCAACTGAAACATCAGCAGTGTTGAACTGCATATTTTTTTTAAAAAAGATGAAAATGCAGTTAATAACAATGGCTATTATAATACATGGTTACATTCAAAACATGGAAGGAAGCTGGCTGCTTTGACAAAAGGGAAACTTTACAGTGGTTAAAAAAGAGTTATAAAATTGTTTCCCTTCTTCACAGGGCCCTCTGGGACTGCAACTTGTCCCAGGCTACACAGACAGCTCTTTCCTGGGAAAGCACAGTGGGGAATTGAACTCCACCTAAGCCAGGGCTCTGTAGCCAGGCACCCAACTCAACCATAGACGCAAATACATTACAGAAAGGCAAGTAACTGAGGTAAAGCTTCAAGGGGAATACAGAGAAAACGGAAACTGCGGAAACTGAAAGTGCTTAGGCAAAGGTATGATCCCGGCAAGCCAGGAATAAAAACTGCCAGGAGAGAGCAAATGCCAGTTTTAGGTCATGTGACTCCTTTGATGGGCAGTGATGGGTGAAACCTGCCATGTGTGGTTTCCTCCTCTGTACCTCCCAGGAAAAAAGCAAGAACAGAACTTACAAGTTGTATGTTTGCCTAACAAAAAGGTAGTAATTTCTTTTCATAAGGGAAATACACAAGAGCTAAGAAGCAGGGTCCGAGAGAGGATGCTTAAGCCTCTTATTGTCCTCTCCCTTATCTTCAAGCTGTCCCAAGCAGCTACTTACTGATTTGGTCCTCAAGTTGTAAAGGCATGTCCTAAGAGGGAAAAGGGAATTAAGGACAATTTGGGACTTCAGAAGTACTGAACAAACATGCTTCAGAATAACTGATTTATTGTGGCACTTGCTTCTCTGGGAAGCATCCTGCTTTATTCTGTGCACGACTCTATTGTATACTCTGTTACTACAGAATAAACCAAGTAAAATGGCAGCAATACATATATTTAGGGAGGAGGAAAAGGGTGGAATGTGGTTGTACCATTTATCGATTCTACAGTTGATGTTCACTAGAAACTGTATTGGTACTTATTCTAAAAATAATAATCCTTCATTTTTCTTCAAAATACAAGTTTTTGGATTGAAGTGCTATAAAAGTAAAAAGCTATTCCTAAAATAAATTTAATGTCAGATAGTGTATATAAATCCAATGTGCTTTTAAAGTTTTGCTTAGAAAAGGCCCTGGGCTCCAGTAATACTGAACTATTTCGCCCAAAAAAGCTCATGGATGCCACCTGCTGTTTCAATTTAGAATAGCTTTCCCTAACTTACTGCAATTAATCCCTGGTCCAGCAGAAACCTGTTTTTGCAACATGGATTGTTCAACCCTGCTATAATTTGAAAGTACGTGATGATATTAACTTTTTTAGAACTACCAGGAGCAGTTAAAATTTCATTCACTTTTAAAATACAATAACCAGGACAAATACCAGAAGGCAAAGGTAATGGCAGAATTCTCCCTCTTCCATAGCATGCAACACACATTAATCCAGAGATGTTAACACAGCTTTTCCAAAACCAAATATTCTTTCAGCAGCCACAGCAGTTGTTTACTTAGGAAAAAGCTGATTAATGCTCTCCTATGTGACTAAATAGCTTGAGCAGAGACGTTATTGTGCCATGTGACTTGGCAGGATGCCAAAAGTGTCATATTTTATCATTATAGTGCTCTGAAAAAATGAGATGAAAGAACCCTGTATTTGAATGATCTCTTCAAAAAAGGGAATGCCTGACCTCAGAGGAATAAGTCACTCAAAAGCTGAAAAATATAAACAGGAAGCATAGGAAAAGGTTAAGATAAAGCTAGGGTTCTTAAACTCCTCTGTGGCCCATCACAGAACAGGATAAAGACATAGGAACATCAACAGATTCTGAGAGCTTTGAATAAAGGCAGTATTTTTCCTTCTTTGCTAAGATTGCTTCAAGAATACCCATTTGGTGCAGACAGACAAAACATGATGCTTGATCAAACTTTGAATCCAACTGGAGTATTTTCTATCACTTGGAGTTCAGTGCAGCCATGCCATATACCACTGTGGCACCTAATCCAAGAGAAAGTCCACTGCCCCAGATGAGTTAAACTGGTAGATTCTAGACTGCAATAGGATTAGGCTATTTAGTTATACATTTGGTACAACACAACACAACTGGACTTAATTGTCCTTTTTACAGTATAACTTTGTTCATTTGATTATATAAAAGTAATTGTGGGATAAACTAGCTTTTGTATAACAAGAGATGGACAACCCTTGGACCTTCCATTCTTTTGAATGCCCCCTCATAATCCCTTACCACGACAGCAGGGGCTTTTAATAGCTGAAATCCAAAACAATTTAAGGGCTAAACTCCCTGTTGTATTACAATCTGTAGTACATGTTATTACAAGTCACCACTATTGACTTAGATATGCTATATATTAAATACCAGCTGTATTTTAAAAAATCTTAACATATACTAAAATGTGCTATAAATAAACAATTACGTATCAGCAATTAATTGTAAAAGAAAATTGTGTTTTGGTTTCAGTATATTCCATGCTTCACATTATGAGGGGGAGGCATGTATACTTTTGACTGCTTTAAGAAATTCAAGGAAGTTTTCTACTTTCCTTATTTAATCTGCTTCTTCAGATCTTGTTAAAACATTTGACATTAATCTTGTCTGTCAATGTTTTACAAGAGCTACAGTGCTACATACTGAGGTGTGAAAAATGCAGTCCTTCAGATGTTGCTAAACTGCAATTCCTATCAGCTTCAGCATGCGTTTTCAATGAGGAGTGGTGGGTTGCAGTCTAATAAAACACGTAGGACTGTACTTTACCATATACAATTTCATTGGCATGGGTGTATCTCATAAGTCTCAGGTCTGGGAAACAGAATTGCCAACTGACTGAAATGCCAGACTGTTCTTTCACTATTAAGTATTCATACAACAGAAGCAAGAAATCCATGGTAAGACAGAAGCTGTGAGTGACAGATATTTCTGTAGCTGAGGAGCAGAAGTACAAGGATGACAAAATGTTAAAATCCTATCTCCACTGAACATTTCTAAATGATGCCTATGACTTTTATCTAATGGTACTGTATCTCATAATATTCTCTATCCTTTTAGCAGGACTGGGAGCATACAGATACACACATTTTCACAGAAAAACAGGTTGAGAATATTGCAGACACAAAATGAGCTCTGCTCACTACTGTATGACAACACATGACAACTAGTTAGTTGGTTGTATTATTAAGTTTTAATAATTATATTATTCTATTGTATTTTATCATTTTTTGTAAGCCGCCCCAAGTAGACTTTGTCTAGAGGGGCGGAGTATAAATCTAAATAAAATAAAAGTAAAAGTAAGAGCTCACTTAGAAAACTAAGTTTTTTCAGTACCTTTAGAAAAGCATTTCTGAAAGCAAATGTTTATTCTAGATGTTTTTCTGTATAAAAGAGTTTTTATGCATCACTGTGATAGTTTTAGAATAGTAATTTGTTTACTAGATACCACACAAGTGTTGCTAGAATAGTTTTAAATTATAAAGTACTTGCATCTATGAGCAGTGTTTTTTCTACATAAGAACAAGAGCTTCCTGCCAAAAAAAAGGGGTTTATGACCTTATGTTCAGAGCATTATGTTTATCAGCAGGCTTATTGCCCACCACAACATTCCCACACCACAGTGTTTGAGATGACTTATCCACTTTTGTTCTACCAGATATTTTACCATTTTCAGTTAGTATGGTACAAAAACTTTCTTCCATCTACTGCAGGGAATTGTGGTTCTAAACCTACAAGATTAAAAAAAAAAACTCTCCCCTTGCAAGCAATTATTTCTCAAACATTGTCTTTTATGAGCTCTTCATCCACATAGAATATCATCTCTTAATTTTTTTTATTACAACTGAACACCGGGGGGGAAAACCCTGAGTTTAATGTACTGGGTTCAAACTGTTTAAGGTCTTCCTGTGTAAGGACATTTTTTTTGTCCCATGTATTTGTTTGTTTGTTTGTTTTCCAGTGAAGAGGAGAAAAGGCTATTTTCAGCTAAGAACTTGATGTAAATCATCTAACACAGAAAGGTCTGCTGGCATGTGGGAGGAATGCTTAGTGTAGCTAAAATAATTTTTATATAAACCACTGCTACGTTCAGTTACAAAATGTTCTAGTGAATTAAGCAACCATTTTAAGATCACACAATTTTATCACAGCAGAACACATAAAAAACTGGTTCCCATGTAGTTTCTGCATGCAGACAGGTTTATGTAAAATATATAAACATTTTCCAATTTGTTACAGATTGCATAAATATGGCATTTTACTGTTGAATTTACAAATGTGCAAACAAAACAAAATCTGATTACAGTCTCTGAATAGTAGCTTGCATCCAAGTGAAGCAAGAAAAAAAATGCCCACAAAGAATTTAAATACTAAACTTTTAAAAAATGTCTTCTCAGTAAAATTCACACTTTTAAAATAGTTTTATTCATTTTATTTGTATATGTCAAAATACATTTTTTTGCAAAATAGTGGGTTTTGCAAGTAGTTTCATGCAGATGCAAGGTCTGCTCAATACTACCAGTAAAATCAACGCAACACAGTAGCCAGTTTTTAAAGAATAAATAACCTATATATAAAACACTAAAATATTAGATACACAATCATTCACAGGCATCCAAAACTTTACCAAATATAATCCACAGTATGCCTAACCATTCCACGACACTATTCAGTGTGCTGCAGCTGCTCAGATGGATCAGTTCTCTGCTTTTGTATTAGCATAATAGCATGAAAGATGTCCATCTTCAAACATATTACTCATACAGACTTACTGTAACATGATACCCCAGAACTATCCTTGTACCTTTAGAAGCAAGAATCCTGAGCTTGGTAGTAAGAGCAAAACCTTACATCTTCAGAAAACCTCCCTCCCCTGCCCCACATCACCCAACCCCACATAGGGAACTGGTGTCATTCTTACCCCAACTAATCTTTCCCCCACCCCAAAATGAAGCAGGCCCCATCCCCAGAAGTAGGCAGTAGAACACAATGACCTTTTTTTTAAATGAAGGGGTACAAATTCACATTTAATATAGTATACAATATAATCAATAATACAATAGGTACTACAAGCTTTACAATGTACAATTTATTTTAATGGCTGAACTGTTCAGTGGTTTTTTTAGGCAATAGTCTGTAGGCCAGTAAGATGGTGGTATTTATTAAGTTTTAGTGAAAATATAAAAAGCTGTTTGTTCTTTAACAAAAGCTATCTTCACTGGAGTATTTGTTTAAAAGGCCACTGAAATGTATAAAATGGTCAGACCTGATTGATGGTGGTATAAACTTAGATGCCTTTTCACATGGCAATAGCAGTGCATGTATATGAGTAACAGGTTAGGGCTCTCAACTGACTTAAAAGATTACTTTGGCTAGCACAACAATTTTGGACAGCACTCAAATACAGATGTGAAGTGTAGTGAAGAATTTATACTTAATTTTAACTATGCGTGAATACTATTCAAATGAAAAACTGGGAGGGGAAAAGGGATTTTTTTTAAAAACAGTTTAGGCATTTTTGTAAAGAGTGGCTCCATACACAGTAGAGTTTCTAAATTTAAATCGTTAAAATTCATGGGTTGTTAAGCACTATTTTGAAACAGTCTAATTTTCTTTAACACACATTTGAAACAGGGAAGTATATTCAAGCATTTCATGTGAGTTTGAAAAAATCCAAACAATATACATTAATATGTACAGCATCACTCAGTACCTGCTAAAATGAATGTGAAGGTTACAGAATCTATATCTTGCACTACAACCCTTCTTTTCTTCCAAAAAGTGACCAATAAAGGCAGAAAACAGACATTTTAAAATGATCAATCTACTTTCAACTGAATTTTAAAGCATATTTTATAGGAAATAAATGCATATTGCACAACAGTGAAAGCAAAAGACTCCACAAAACCTTTTCGTTTTGAGGTGGCTGGCTGGAAAATACAGGCTTCATTAACTACATGTTGAATTTTCAAAGGGTGTGTGGTTTCTGCAGATGTAAAGCTGTGAAAATACTGTACAAAGAAACAATCTGGTACATGAATAAGTAGAACAGCGCACACACAGAATCCAAACTGGTAAAGAAACAAAATGGCAGGATAGAAAAACAACCAAGAACCGTGACACAACAACAAAATAAAGTAACTGTGATAGCAGAAAGCTTTTTCAATGCATGTGTTTATGTACAACTAAGGCTTACTGGTTAAATATCTGAGGCTTATCTGGCCTTGAACACTTTCCTTATATGCAATAGCTGTAAACAAGATTTCTCAGTCATTATGTCTTTTCAGCAGCTGCTTTACACATGAAACAATGATCTCGATTTTTTAAAAAAAACATACACCCAGGTAAGAGGGCATTTGGCAGAATATCTGAAAATGACAGTTTCCAAGAAATCTTCCCAGGCTTCCAGTGACTTCCATGCTATGGTCCACTGGAGTTAGTAATTATGTGCAATCCCGTGATTTGCAGCTGGAGTAAACGATTTTATTTGGAAAGCTTGCTGATAACTCTGATCAAGGCCCCATTTTCATCTTTTAGCCTCTGGTTATCTGCCTTCAGATCTGGTAGCATCTATTGGAGCAAAAAAGAAAGTAAAGATATGTCATGCTGGATAAAAAACAAGATGTTAATTACAAAAACAATCTTCAAATACAAGCAGCCTCCTTTTCCTGCAAGCACTACAGTATCAAAGCAGGAGTTTCGAATCTGAGACCCAGCTATACTGGCTAATATTTTTTTCATAACAAGTAAATACCAATAACCATTACTGTAGCATGGAATAAGGCATTTCTTTTTTCTTTAAAAGGCAAAAAGAAAAAGAAATCAATCCTTAACAATTTTGCTCAAACACACTACAAGCCATTCTCAGAATGCAGTAAGGAAGGATCCCAGTGAGTCCAAATTGGAACGGATTGCCGTCCTTAAGCGAAAATCGCCATAGGAAACATCATTGAGTGAAACCCGGTTCCCCAATTGAAATGCATTGAAGCCGACTCAATGCATTTCAATGGCTTTGCGAAGTCCTTTTTCGCTCCTGTAAAAGTGTCTTAAACTGTTAGAAACCTGTTTTAAATGCTTGCAATCGTTAGCCCACCTCCTGAACCCTATGCAAACTTAATTTGGTGTTGTTCTGAGTTGTCGTTAATTTCTTTCAATGGAGAATAAAAAAATTCACCAAAAATTAACGATGACTCAGAACAACACCAAATTAAGTTTGCATAGGGTTCAGGAGGTGGGCTAACGATTGCAAGCATTTAAAACAGGTTTCTAACAGTTTAAGACACTTTTACAGGAGCGAAAAAGGACTTCGCAAAGCCATTGAAATGCATTGAGTCGGCTTCAATGCATTTCAATTGGGGAACCGGGTTTCACTCAATGATGTTTCCTATGGCGATTTTCGCTTAAGGACGGCAATCCGTTCCAATTGGAACGGATTAACCGGTTTTCAATGCATTCCTATGGGAAATGGTGTTTCGCAGAATGATGGTTTCACACAGCGATGAATTTTTTGGAACCAATTAACATCGTTGTGCGAGCCACCACTGTACTTACTTCTCTATACAAAGGAAAATGCACATATCCTTAATTTGCAGAAACTAGATTTTTGTGATAGTTACTTTTTATCTAGTGTAGGGTACACGAGCATGGATATGCATTGTACTTCAAACAAGATTTACCAAGCCTGGGCAAGGAAGGTAGTTTTGAATGCCAAGACTCACATCTATGATATATAAAATTGCAATAAAGAGGAAAAAAAGAAAGTACAATTTCTCCACAGTACATATCCCCACTGCTGTCTCACCAAGTATCCACTCTCCAAATACATAAGAAAGGTCAGAATAAAAGAGAAGAGACTCTCACAGCATAAGGCTCAGCTTTCAAGTCAGGCTTGACCCCTTGGTTGCTACTGCTTAGAAGTGAAACTATTTTAAAACCCAGTACAAGCACACAAAACAATGTTTCATAAATAGAAAGGAAACAAATTACAAGATATGACTATTAGCGAAACACACGAAGTTTGAATGTTCAGCTTGAACTGAATAAATATTCTCTTCAATTACCGTATATACTCGAGTATAAGCCAACCCGAATATAAGGGTAGGCACCCAATTTTACCACAAAAAACCTGGGAAAACTTACTGACTCGAGTATAAGCTGAGGGTAGAAAATGCAGCAGCTACTGGTAAATTTTAAAAATAAAAATAGATACCAATAAAATTACATTATATGAGGCATCAGTAATTTAAATGTTTTTGAAGATACTGCCCTTCTGAGCTGCAAGACACACTTCATTGCCTGCGGAGGGAGGACTCATACTGGATGCTGCACTTATCTACTGCTCTACTGCTGCGTAACAAGATGGAGGGAGACGAAGGTGGGAGGAGGATGGTGGGTACATAGAATACACAGGAGGAGGAGGATGGGCGTGTCCTAGAAGCGGAAATGCAGTGTACTTAACCTGGGTTATCGGACCACCCAGAGGCTGTAGGCGCCTGCAGATGACCGGGGGAGTCCTGAGAACACCCGCACTGCAGAGGAGAACATGTAATTTTGACACTGACTTGAGTATAAGCCGAGGGGGGTGCTTTTTCCAGCAAAAAAAAACTGTGCTGAAAAACTAGGCTTATACTCAAGTATATACAGTATATAGGCACTACTTTGCTCTGAGGGATGTTAAACACATTCTGCATCAGATGTACAGTGGTGCCTCGACTTACGACCATAATCCTTTCCAGAAGATGGACATAACTCAAAATGGTCGTACGTTGAAGCACCATTTCCCATAGGAATGCACTAAAATGCAATTAATCCGTTCCGGCAAAAGAAAAAAAATCACACACATACACACAAAATCAATGCAAGACTCATTGGAAATGCGATTAATCCCAGCTGAGGGGGGGGAGAAAAGCAATCAAGCAGGCAAGACCCATTGGAAATGCACAGAGAACAAAGGGGGCAGGACAGAAATGCAAAGAAAACAAAGGAAAAAGCAAGGGAAGCGTGCAGGACTCATCAGAAATGGGGAACCCCCCCAAAAAGCAACCAACCCTCCAAGACCCATCAGAAGGGGGGAAGCCAAAAAACAAACCCCAAGACCCATCAGAAATGGGGAAACCTCCCTGAAAGCAACCACCCCCAAGACCCATTGGGAATGGGGGGGAAAGCCAAAAAAACCCCAACCCCCCAAGGCCCATCAGAAATGGGGGGAAAACCCCAAAACAAGCAAACCCCCAAGACCCATGACAGCACAGAAACATAACCCCTCCAGCTGAGAACCACGCTACAAAAACACCCAGAACAGTTTTTAAAAAGCCAAAAACAGCACTTTACCTTACCAGGCAGCCTGAAGCCTCCCTGCAAACATACACACGCTCACTCAGAAGCAGGAGGAGGCAGTCTGAAGCCTCCTCCAATGCACACTCTAACTGCTGGGGTAAAAGAGCTACAAAGAAGCAGCCTTGTCGCCGCCTACAGTTAAAAATTTGAATTTCCCGCCTTTTTCCCCTGCCTTTTTCTGTTCGTAACTGGAAGCTCCGATCACAATTTAGAAGCAATTAAGCGAAAATCCCCATAGGAAACATCGTTGAGGGAAACGCGGTTCCCCAATTGAAATGCATTGAAGCCGACTCAATGCACTTGAATGGCTTTGCAAAGTCCTTTTTCGCTTCTGTAAAAGTGCCTTAAACTGTTTGAAACTGTTTTAAATGCTTGCAATCGTTAGCCCACCTCCTGAAACCTATGCAAACTTAATTTGGTGTTGTTCTGAGTCTTCGTTAATTTTTGGTGATTTTTTGTTTTCTCCATTGAAAGCCATTGGACGGACCAGAAAATTTAACTGAGTTGCTAGGTCATTTATATAAAGGTTGAATAACAGGGAAGCCAGTATACATCCCTGTTTTATATCTTTCTGTCTTAATAGGAGCTGTAAGATGGCCTTGTGAGTTGGTTTTAACTCGTATTGTAGCATTTTCATGTAGAGCTCTGTAGCGAACAGCTCTGCCCTCACCTGTCTATCACAGCAAAACAGTGAAGAAGGAGCCTACGAGTGAACGGAAGGCGGAGCCAAGGGGGGGAGGGAGCTGGATATAAAGACTGGTGTATGGAATCTGAGAATCTGGGAGAGAGATTGTGTGTAACTTGAAAGTGTCTGGAAAGTGAGTTAGAGATCTGTAAGAGTCTAGATTGAAACAGAGAGCTAAAAGAGTGTTAAAGATTTGATTCAAATACAAGTCATTGGCAGCCTGTGATTTATCCCATGAATATCCATCGTTCATTTACTTCCCTGATCAAATAAAAGACTTAGGTTTTGAACAGCACACTTGTCTCCATACTCTATTGATATTAAACATTAATATCTGGTGGCAGCGATGAAGGAAGAAGAGTGAGAACCTCGTGAAGGCCTCGGGGGGGGGGATAGGGACTTCAGAGGAGATCGCCACAAGCTCTAATAAAAAAACAAGAGACATTTGTCAATAGTAGAACCTCATAATTTAGCCCATAGAATATTTCTTGAGATTGAATCGAAGGCAGCTCTAAAGTCAATAAAAGCTGCATATAGAGACACAGGGTTCTTAGAAGAATATCTTGAGATTAAATGCTCCAGAATCAAACACTGAGAACTGAATGGCCCTCTCTAAACCCTGCCTGATCTTCAGCCAAACAGTTCTCTTATCAATTCAATCTTGTAATTTCCACTGCAGGTGTCTAGCATACAGTTTACTTAATATACTAAGTAGGCTACTAGGTCTATAGTTTGATGGAAGATCTTTGTTTCCTTTCTTATATACTGGAACAATTATCACCAGCCCCCAATCCTTGGGAATTCTCCCAGTATTATCGAGTGCTGTAAATAAAGATGTTATAATTGGTACCCAACAGAGTTTTTCTTAAATCTGAAGTGATTAGATCCGATTCCGGGGCTTTACCAGGTTTCAAGGTTTGGCTAAGATTCCTCATCTCTACCGAATTCACTGGTGGCCATTGAGGGAGATGGTCTAATTCATCAATTTCATACTCTGCAGATTCAGAACTACTATACAGTCCTCTAAAATGTTGTTCCCAAACGTCTGGTAGGATGTAATTGTTCATGGCCACGGGGGAGCTAATTGGATGGTAAGTTACCAGAGGCCAAAAAGGGGAAGTGTTCTCAGTTTTAACTGCTGAACTTAATTGATTCAACATTCTACCTTCTGCATCTTTTTTGTGTGTGTCGAATAAGGAATTTATAATGAGCTTGTTGTTGTTTTAGTACCCAATATTGAGTCTCTTTTGGGCCGTTTCTGTACCTACTATAGCAGTTTCTTAGATCTCTTTTTGCTACTCTGCACTCTCAATAAAACCAGGGTGCAGAGAACTGTTTGTATACTCTTGTGGTGTACTTGTTTGCCTAATCTATGGTTTTATACATAACTAGGGTTAGTTCCTCATACCCTCAATACAGCCCTCTGGGTTTTCAGCTGTAGAGATTTCCTGTACAATCTCGTCTAATTGATCCGAGGCCAGCAGATTAGCTATCCTGTTTTCTATTCTAGGTTTCCATCTAGCCACTTTCACAGACTTATCTTGAATTAAAACTACTTTATAAAGGTCTTTGATGCATGAGTTAAACCATGGTAAATCCAGCGCCATAATCAAAGGTAGATGACTGCTATATTGAAAGTCACCAGTCTTAAAGGATTCAATGTATTGGATTCAATGTATTCAGAGACTATAAACGTAGTTAAAATGCTCACCCCTTCTCCAGACCAATACGTTAATTCTGCAGGGTGGTCATCTGGGTAAGACCCATTTATAAGGAAACTCGATTGATCATCTGTATTAGCTTATGTCCAGCATAATTCGCATTACTATATTTGGACATCCTGTATAGAGACAGTAAGTGTTTCCCTAATTCAGGTGGGTATATCTTCATACTGGAGTACTGCCTGACATCATCCTGCCCTATTATCGCGTTAAAATCTCTGCCTATAATGACATATCTTGATAATATCCCTATTTTGCTATAATATCCCTATATTGATAGTGGGGCTCTCACCACTCTCGTCCATGTGCTTGTAATCTCAAGATTAGACCACTGTAATGCACTCTACGTGTGGCTAACTTTGAGATTGATGCAGAAGCTTCAAATGGTGCAGAATGCAGTGGCCAGACTCCTTAGTGGGATGAGAAAATATCAGCATATCTCTCCCACTCTGGCTGCCTTGCATTGGCTGCCCATTCGCTTCCGCATTGACTTCAAAGTGTTGATGAGGACGTATAAAGCCCTAAACGGTTTAGTACCACGATTCCTGGCAGATCGCCTTCTCGATCTACCCGAATCACTTGCCATAGCCAGAAGGGACAGTTGAGGGGCCTAACGCCGAGAGAGGCCCCCAAAGAAAGAACAAGAACCCAGGCCTTCTTGGCAGTGGCCCCTCTGCTCTGGAATAGCCTCCTATCAGTGATCCGCCTGGCTCCCTCACTGGGTGTTTTTAAGAACCAATTAAAAACTTGGCTCTTCAGGCAGGCCTTCCCTCCTGTCAATACTTGACTTTATTCTTATTATAATTTTCTGTTTTTCCATCTTAAGCATTACGAACATGTTGTCGTGTCACCTCCCATGTTCTCAACCACCCTAATGATCCCATCTGGGTTGTTATCCAGGGGAGAAGGGGATAAACCATCCTTGTCAAGAGTTCTGAACAGTTCCTGATGGATGTCAACACAACACCAGCTCCTGATTCTTTAAGTTCTGAAAATGGAAAAATGTGTGGGAGCAGTTCATTTTGAATAGACTGCAGCACAGGGGTCATTAACGTGAAATCCAGAATATCTTCTGGTTCTTCCATGGGAGTAGTCGTTACCTTCATAATAATAGGGCCGGGAGTGCTGTGACAGAGTTCCTCCTAATGAAACCTTGGGGTCTAGGCATCAAATTCGTAAAGGCAATGAAAGGGGTCAAACAGTTCAATCTACCCAGTAACTTGAAGAGTTACCAAGGCAAAGACTCATGACTAAACTAAGTTGGAAACTGCGGCAACACCCCTCCAGGTCAGCAAACCTCTTTTATCTTTCTTCTCTCCCCCTCCTTCCTTCAGGAAGTAGCTGAGAAAAGGCAGTGAGTCCTCTGCGATGCCCAAGCTGTCTGTTTCCTTCCCAAGGCCAGAATTTTTACAGTCCTCAGTTGTTTGCTGGTGTTAACGGCTCTTCTAGATAAGGACCAAGCTGATAATATCGACCAAATATCCACAAAGCTGCCCGGCCTCATCTGCACTCTGCCTTCATGTGGAAGCAAAACTCCAGCTGCAGGGAGTCTGTCTCTAACAGTAGCAACTATGAAGTTTGTTTATAAGACTAATTAAACAATGTGAAGGTTAAAATAGATAAAAATAATGTAATCAGTAATATAATAGTGATTAAAATTAAAAAGGAGTGGAGTTCAGCACAAACGTCTCTCTTCTCAAGCCGGAAGCTTATGCATGCATAGTCCAGGATTCAGTTTCACAGAGCCTTCCCCCACCCTCCTGGCCAAGCGCCGGCCGGTCAGCCGGCCGAAAAAGCCGGCGTGCACTTGGGAGGAGGGTGAGGGAGCCTTCCCCCGCCCTCCTGCCTGAGCGCCGGCCCCATTTTTGACCAGCTGATCGGCGGCTCCAAAATGGCCGGCGCAACCATTTTAGCGCAATTTCCTCGCTTACCGAGGGTGCGAAAATGCCTACGCTATGGAGCTACTTCGCTGAACGGTGAGTTTGGGGCCTATTGGAATGCATTAAACGAAGTTTAATGCGTTCCAATGGGTTTTTCTATTCTGTACAGCAATGTTTCGCCATAGCGACGGTTAATCCGGATTATGTAACACAATGTCTGACAAGCACAGATTAAATGTAGATAGAGTGAAAAACTAATAAAATGTATTTTTAAAAAAGAGTCTACCTGCCCTCTTTGTGGCTATAGAAGTTCTCATGTATTGGTTTGGTTGATGCCAAAAGTTTCCACCTAGCACAAATGTGTATTACAATTATCACTAAGTTTAGGTACATATGCAACAGACAGGCCAAGATCCAAAAGAATACTTCAGTATTCAGCACCAATGGAACTGAGCCTTTCTTGCCCTGGGCCTCCATCTGTAGCCCTTCATGGCTCCCCAAAAACCTGATGTACAGGATTTCTCAGCCTTTTAGATCAGGTTTTTAAGCCACGCAAAGGGCTGTAAGAGGAAGAAAGAGTCAGCCAGTATACTGGAAAAAACTGTGAAATCCATCAGAAGACATCACAGATTCCAGCTTAACTTCTAGTGAAGTGTTAATTCATAGTATGCTATAAATATAGTATTACTATGTACAGTACATCAGAAGGGAAATAAACTGTGGTGGATACAAATTTCAAGTTACTAATTCTACACTCTGTACGCTGAGGACTATAGATTTAAAATTACCTGGAATATAGCATCTCTAGGCGAGCAAATTTGGAATACTGATTTCCTTATCAATCAACAAAACGAAATCATTCAGAAGTGGTAAAATACTAGTTGTGGACTACTGGATGCCATGCATGTAAGCTGAATTTTTTTGTTTGTCCAAAAATAAGCCAGTGTAAAATAAACACACATGCAACACTAGTAAAAGCTTCAAACCATGACAACAGCTGAAAGTTAATGCCTGCCTGGCTTGAAAAAAAGGAGATTTACAAATCCACAGAAGGTAGATGCCTGCAAGCACCTGACAGCTTGATAACCACTCTGGTCAAGGCCCTATTCTCAGTCAACAGCTGGTCATTTATATGCCTCAAAGAATGAACATGCTTTACTTGGTATAGTTTCTGTAGAAATCAAAGAAACAGGAGCCAACATGAGAGAAATGCAACTGAGACATGTTGAAAAGTAATACAGGTGAGAAAAACTAAAAGGAAAAAGAGATGTAAAGAGAATCTTTTTTTTCTTGGCAACAAATAATTAATTAGTTAGTTCCATGTGCAAAAATCAACATTTCCAAAGGGAAGCTAAAGGGCAACAACTAATTGTACATAAGTTTCCAAACAATTAAAATTCAATAGAAACCTGGATTATTGCTATAATAAAGAATACAATTATGATCTTAATATAACAATATGGATGGTAAAGTGTCATGGTTGAGGTACTGTATGTCTAAAGAAAATTTCTCCTCTTGCTATTTTAATGTAAAATTATATAACTTGATAACGGATTCAGATGCCTCTATAAAAGATAAAATCTTCAGGATTAGGGCATTCCTAGATGTTTAAGTAACAGCCATCATCCAAAATATATCAGTGGACTAGGGCTTGGCCACCACAATCTATGCTGTGGAAAAATCATGAATAAAATTACCCTGGAGCTAACTTTGAAATCCATTTCAAAACTGAAAATGCTTCAGGATCTGTTGGTGCGAATAAAAAAATACAACAAAACAAACACTTTACACTTACCTGTTGAGAGCTGCACTGCTATTCTGTCTTTTTTCAGAGACAATTCAGAGGGCTGCTAATGGCCTTTAAAGCCCTTAACAATTTTGATTACTGGATTACTTAATCCTTAATACTAAGATTTAGAAAGGATTCTCTGTATATCTCATACCTCTGAAATTAGTGTGATGACTAAGAGGAATAGGACTTTTTCGGCAGCAATACTGTCACTGTCAAGACTCCAGCCTACAGAGATCCAAGAGACTTCTTGATTTTCTATGGATTGCCAACTTTGAGGAAAACAGTAAAATGCTTTGCCAAGGCTATTTTACCTTTATCATGACTTTTTACAATGAACACTGCTTCACTGGTTTTAATACTGCTGTTTTAAATTGTCTTATGGTAATTTGTGTATCTGGTCCTTGGTAGCCTTTGTTATCAAAAGAGAGCATACATTTGGAAAATGAAGGACTAATCAGAATCCTACTGGTGTTAGTTGAAGGTCTGTGCAACTTGCTGTGGCTAGTTGCAACTAACTGATGAGATGCCAGGACATATCTCAGTTATCAAAGAGGCTCATTAGCGCTGTATTTTCCAAATAATCTAGCTCTGATTTATTAAGGTCAACCTCTACTGCAGAAGACCCTTATTTGCCTCCTTTGCCAAAGTAAGTTGATTCTTTCTCTCGGACAACTGCTTCTGCTGCAGTCAAGCATGACTGTGGCCTATCTTCTCAGGTCTCACCACTCTTGCTTCAAACTGTGGGTACACTCTCAAAGCTAAGCATCCTTATATAGAAGCCTAATCCATGTTTTTATTGTACCTTTTTAATTCTGTTTTCTACACACCTATGCATTGGTCTGCCCACTGCATGTTAGGTAATTAATTCCTGTTTAGCCTCTACAGAGGTATGTTTGCTAACTCTCAGCAACAGTTGTATATAGACTCCTATATACTAAATAAAATTTCTATGAAAAACATACCATTGTGAGTGTATGTTACCAGGAAAGTTTCCTTTTTCTAGGTTGCTGTGCCTCAGAATATGCCCATATTTATACACTTATTTAGAAAGGATAGCTGTAAACAGGTGGGGCACACTTACTTTGAGTTCCTCTTCCATTTCAGATATTCGCCTTTCTAGAGCTCTTCGTTCCTACAGAAAAACCTTTGCATTAATGACAAATAGTAACACTAGTCTATATATTTTAAACAATGTGAACACAGTGCAATTGCCAACCTTTACGATTAAACATCCATAAGCACAGTGAGGACAAAAAGACTTGTGAGGCCAGTGAAGTGTAAAAAATACTTTCAAAGTACGATCAAAATAATACCAGCATTATCAAATTTAACAGTTTAATCTATCTTTATGTACAGCTGAACAAACAACAGTTTTTATAGCATCAGCTGGCTATTACTCCTTTAGATAGATTTTGTGGTAGTTTAACACACAAGAAGTGCAGGTAAGATACCACTTGCCTTAAGGGGAAAAAAAGCACAAAGCATGAGCTGCCATAGACAAGCAAATGTTAGTTTGCACTCTGTACTGTGTTTGGGTAGTACTAATGTAACATGTCTTTGCGTCCCAGTGCATATTCTATCATAATTCAAACAATGGACAATGGGTTTTTACAGCTCAGTCTTGCCTCATGTTAAGATAGTGCAGTGAGTTTCATGTAAAAAGTTGCTGTATCCAGCACCTAACATCCAAGTATTTTCAACATGTGAAAGACAAAAGCAGATTACTGCAAAGTGTAAATGAGCTGCATTCAACAGTGTTATGCAAAACAAGCAGCAGGGGAGGTGCGTAAAACTCTGGTTAGATCATACCGCCCTGTAGATACTGACTCTTGTCGGTCACCTTTCAGATACAAACCATTTGAATTTCATTTAATAATAGTTAATGGAATCCCTAAGCACATTATCCTGTGTCTTAGCATTTAACTTCATGAGTTTAGTACAGTAACACTTTGCTATGGTCAGCCTCTTAATTATTTAACCTTGTCTGGCAAGAACACAGTTTCTGAGGGGAAAAACAATTCATACACAGTGTGCTCAGTTATATAACAGTGAGTTAACAGAGTGTAAGCCCTAAAAAAACACAAGGCTGCACAATCAAATTCACAACTGGAGGCTCTGAGAATCAGACATATTAATACTATTTTAATTCAGTGGGCAATCCTTGTGCGGTACATGAGACAGAAGAACTGTGAAAGAAGAAAAACATAATAAAAGTAGTCTCCAAACTAACTTCACGTTACAATACTGGCCAGTTGTATCATCACTTATGCATTTGGTTGATAGTGTCTTCTGACACATTAAAACGGATACCTGCACAAGCTCTATTATTCTTAGGCAACACACATGACCACATAAGTCATGGTGGACGCATGGACATCTCCATATGAAAACAGTATCATGCAAGTATTTCTTAATAACATAAACATGGCTGCAAGAGATGTCCCAGGTGAGAGAAATAACCCTTAATTACTGCTACCACATATAACAACAAGCAACTGCTTATATAGCATGTACAGTATAAAGATATTTGGCAACTCCTTCAAACATTAACTCCTGAGCCAGAAATGTTCAAGACCTTTATCATTCCAGGCAACACTTCCCTGACATGAGGTATTTATCACAAAGTAGACCACAAAATCTGAAAGGTTTAGAACTGCCTTCCCCAGCTCCCATAATGCCTGGTCATTAGCCATGCTGGCCAGGGTTTGTGTGATTTGTAGTCTAAAACCTGATTCTGGAAAAATCAGAATCCTCAGCAAGCAAGATCAGTGGCCCTGCTTCCCCAGGCTTTGTTCAAAACATATGACTGGGGAAAGACTCTAGTCTACAATTATTTAGAACACCAAAATATAAGAAAAGCATTGGGTCTTCTCAATTATACTGACTTACTAAACTGATATCAAAACGGCATGGATAGGTAGATTTCATCAGCATTATGATATCACAGTTACACATGTTGTTCAATATATTTGCTTTGCAAACTGCTATTTTACAGTTCTTTCTAAACAATACTGGAGATCAGAAGCACGACTTACCCTTTTTTCCATTTCTAGCAGAGACCTGTCAGCAAACCTTTCCTGCCTCTGAAAATAGATAAGCAACATGCAAGATCATGTATACAAATACTAATGGAGGAAATAGTGTTCCACACTCAGTGAAGTTGGTGATATCTTTCTATCTGTTTCACAAAAAGCAAACATTGTTTTTAGAGTGCTGAATTTGGACTAAATCTGAATTTTAATTCCTACTGAGTCAAGATATTCGTTTAGAAACATGAGGCCAATCCTCTTCCCAGCCTGTCCTACCTTGAAAACTAAAGACAAAGTGGGAAGGAAGAAAGCCATTATCGCTGCCTTGAACTCTCTGAAGGGAAGGTACAATATAAATGTAATTAATGTATGAAGAAGATTACAACAGCAGCAAGAGACAACGGTTTTGATTTGATTTTTAGTGAAATATATAAAAGACAATGTGGTACATCACCAGACTCCTAATTAATGTTAATCAACATCACAAATTATCATTTCAGAAAACCACTGAAACACTTCCAATATGTAGCATGCTAAATATGGATTTATAGTTTTCATACTTTTGTGTCAAGCTTATAAATAATAAAAATAAAGCATTACATGAAACTAGTAAATGCCATTTTGCCACACTGAGCAAATGTCACACTGATTCTTAGAGCCATGGTGTTGCACAATTTTCTAATAAGTACAAAAATACAAACCTGAGTTGCCTTTTCTAACTGCAGCTTAAGGTCCGTCAATTCCATGTTGGTATCATGTAATTGTGCTTTCAGTTTTTCATTTTCAGCTACAATCTGTTCATAAAGCTGAGAAATGTGAAATACATTTTGATAATCATTCATTTCTTCAAAATTACATTATGATCTTAATGATGGTGAACTGCAAAACATCTGTCAGGATAATACATTAATAAGGCCAACTCAAAGGCCATAAAACAATGTGCAAGATTTCAAGGTCCCTAGAAAGCTTCCTCAGACACACAGTAATTGACACAGACATTGCTGTAGATGGAGGCGTTTTAAAGCAAGAGTCTCCAGACATTAGCTGCAACACACAGTAAATAAGATTTAATAATTTAACTCGGACAAGTGTATGAACATTTGTCCTGGTCAAACTCAAGTTCCCACTACTCAACCACACAATTTCTCAAACAGCCAACCAGATGCCTCGAAGAAAACAATGAGCATGATGTGAAGGCATTAGTTCTCTTTTACTTTTACTCCCTAGTAACTTAAATTTGATGACATACTGCCTCTGAATACACACATGGCAATGAAGAGTCACAGGCAGGCCTATTTGCTTTTTTAAAGCCACTTAAGCTAGCTGGGCAGAAGTTATGGCAGAAGAAATACCCAGAAAGAATTTTAAAGACACTAGCCTGCAGAATCAACTCTGCCCATCTACCACCTCCCCTGATCAGGGACATCACCAGAGAAATGAAGTCAACTCAGCTCTTCCAGGCACTATGGAGGCACTCCAGCCCTATCACTCTCTGTGCCAACAGGTACAGCAAGCTGTGGGTTAGGTCATTAGGCAACTCCAAAGTTACCTGAAGAAGCTGCTCCTCCAAGCACCAGGTGTGCTTGGTGCATTTTGCTTTTCTCCTTATATAGAGAAAAGCAAAATGTGATAGGACCAGACAGCTTTACGGGGTAAAGCTTGGAGAAAGAAGGCACACAAAACATTTAGCTCTCTGGACTGGTCCAGATAGAAAATCCAAGCTCTAGAACTGATGCAATTCCCATTTTCTTTACATACAATTGTGCCCAAACTGCCATCCATTAAACAGAAATTTCTTCAATATTGTCACTCAAGAGAGAGAAATAGAGAGTGAGAGTATTACTGGAAACAGAGAATGGAGGCAATGCAAAGAGGAAAGGAGGGGATTTAAAAAATCACAGGAGATCTAAGTACAAGAACACTGTTGTGGGAAGTATGCCAAATGGATAAATTTCTGAAACACAGGGATGGTAGCAACATTTCAGATTTAAGGCAGGAAGTGGCACAAGGCAGTGTAGATGTGAATGGAGGATGATAGTTGTGAGGACTGCCAACACCGGGGCCTCAGGGAGAGACATGGAGAAACACCAAGAGCAAAGTGAACTTGGTTAAGAGAACAGGCTTGTGTCTAATATGCAGGATCCTTAAAGGAACCAGTATTTGCAACTGAAGGAAGAGTCCAATATTTGTATATCTGGGCAGGTGACCAATGACAAAAGCAGGAAGCTCAGAAAGGGATGTATGCTCTCATCCATTGCAGAAAGTATGTCACAGCCCTGTGAGTATGTACGGTATATGGATCAAGTCAAACTGGATAGCACAGCCACAAAGAAGTAATTCATAGATGTCATCATGCTACTGCGGAGGTACCTTTTTGAAATCTGTTGTATCTTCTTTTTCTAGCTTGCTGGAATATGATTTGCGATCTTCCAAGTGACTGTATCCTGTCCGTCCCAGTGCTGAATCATAGCGATCTCCTGAAGATCCTGTCTCGTATCTTTAACACACATGTACAAAATCCAAACGTTTTCACAACTCACTTTAGATATAACACCTACCCATGATTTGATGTAACTAATTTAGAAATTAAGTTGTTTCTGGTTTGTACACATATTGAGGAGAGAGGAAGGGTAAACTTCTCATGTCCCCACTCCTTGATAATGTAAAACTGCTACCCTCATCCAAATATACTGTTCCTACCAATGTCACATCTGTGATAAGAACCAGGGGAGGAGGTAAAAGAGTCAAAAGGAAATCATTTTAAATGCTCATCCTTTTGCTTCTCCTGGAGATATTCTTTGCTGCTTTGCCTGAAAAAAGCCATTCTTCCACTTTTCCTGAGCTGAAATATGCATGAAGCATCATATCATTTCCAGGATTTTTCCTTTCTCTTCTCTTTTTCCCACATTAGGCTAGTTACTATTTCCACAACCCTCACCCCAAGCAAAAAGCCATACCTACAAATTCAAAAGCAAAGCAAAGTGTGCTGTTTATACTGCCCCATAGTGCTTAAAGCACTCTCTGGGTGGTTTACAGTTTAATTATGTAGGCTACACATTGTCCTCTCAAGCAATCTGGGTACTTATTTTACCAACCTCAGATGGATGGAAGCCCGAGTCAACCTTGAGCCAGCTACCTGAGCCCATCGGAATCAAATTCAGGTCATGAGAAGTGTCTTGACTGCAGTATTACAATTTAGCCACTATGCCACAAGGCTCTTAAATTCCGTTAAATTTTATATCCAATTCACCCTACCCCAATTTCAACAAAGTTGCAAATGGCACCATCCATAACTGTTTCCCAGATAAGCTTCACACAGAAGTCACATACTGTACACATTTTTAATGGGGAAAAACTTCTCAACATAAAAAGTAAATTTAATAAAATGTTTTACAAATACCGAACAGCCATGTCTGCCTACTTTATAAAGCAATAGTTAAGATTTACATCTGATGACCCACAGTTACTCTCCTTTGTTACCAGTGAACCAGCATAATATGCTAATGTGAAATTTATAATGCTCAGAAGCAAATACTTCTGCCCTGCAAAATACTGTAACCAAGTAAAACTGCTTTACAGTGATGCCTCACAAGATGAAAATAATTCGTTCCGCGAGTTGTGTCGTCTTGCGAAATTTTTATCTTGTGAGGCACGGTTTCCCATAGAAATGCATTGAAATTTAATTAATGTGTTCCCATGTGTCATTAAAGCTACCAACATGAATTGGACCCAACTCCGGGAGGCAGTGGAAGACAGGAGGGCCTGGCATGGTCTGGTCCATGGGGTCACAAAGAGTCGGACACGACTAAAGGACTAAACAACAACAAATGGATGAAAAAACTTACCAGGTAGCCCCAGAGACCAAGGAATGTCTGTAACAACGGCCCAGAACGCCTCCGCCACTCTGCCCGCTGCATTCATCTGCCTCCGCCTCTTTGGCGCGTGCAGGGCTTCTCCCTGGATGTTTGAGTCTGGCAGTTCTATTGGATCCTGGTGCTGTTTCTTCCTACGGTGTGTGTGTGTGCGTGTGTGTGAGCAGAGCGCCAAACAGCTGAGAGGTGGCTGTGGTCGTCTCTGCTGGTTGCCGCCTCTCACCTGTTTGGCGCTGTGCTCACACACACCCCGTAGGAGGAAACAGCGCCTGGATCCAAATAGAACAGCCCCTCCGCCCGCCTCTCAGCTGTTCTATTGGATCCTGGCACTCACACACACCCTTTAGGAGGAAACAGCGTTAGGATCCCTAAGGTGGGGGGGGGGTGGAGGGGCTGTTCTATTGGATCCTGGCGCTGTTTCCTCCTAAGAGGTGTGTGTGAACAGAGCGCCAAACAGCTGAGAGGCAGCAACCAGCTGAGAGGCAGATGGAGGGGGGCATTTTATTAATAATAAATCCTGAGAGGGTTGCCGCCTCTCAGCTGTTTGGCGCTGTGTTCACACACACCCCTTAGGAGGAAACAGCGCCAGGATCCAATAGAACAGAGGGACTCAAAACATCTGGGTGAGAAGCCCCACATGCGCCAAAGAGGCGGATGAATGCAGCATGGGTGGGCGGCGTTCCGGGCTGTTGTTACAGAAGCTCTTTGGTCTCCGGGGCTACGTGATGACTTCTTTCGCCCATAGGAATGCATTAATTACATTTAAATACATACCTATGGGAAAAGTGCGCCTCGCAAGACGAAAATTTTTGCAAGACGACACGTCTTGTGAATCACTGAAAAACTTGCAAAACGCTTTCGTCTTGTGAGTTTTTCATTGTGCGAGGCATTCGTCTTGTAAGGCATCACTGTAGTCATGTTTAAATAGACTTAACCTACAGTTTCAATTTGTGGAATGTAAGAAATTATCTTCTCCCATATAGGCTACTGTGGTCTATACAAGGGGGGGGGGGGATGGAGGCCTCTGCTTAACTGTACCGCAGCTCAATGAAGACCATTTGACTGGGGTATAGGCAAAACCTTCTCTGTTGTGGCACCTACAATGTGGAATGGTTTTCCCACAGAGATTAGGCAGTCTTAATTGTTTCTGCTTCCAAATGAACACCATTGTGTTTACCCAAGCCTTTTCCCAGTTACCTCCATTATTGTTAATCGTATCAGTCATCTCATTTAACTGTTTTTAACAGATTGTTCCGCTTTTGCTGTTTAACTATTTTGTTCTTTTAGTCTCATTATATTCCTTACTGTGGACTACTGCATTTTTTCAATAAAAAGCAGTACAGAAATGCTTTTAATATCTGGAAAATCAATCAATCAATCAATCAATCAATCAATCAACCAATCAATCAATCAATCAATCTCCACTGAAAACTGAACTGAAATGTTATTTGTAAAATTTATGTTTCTCTAAAACAGGGGTCTCCAAACTTTTCACCATAAGGGCCACATCGTATATTTCACACATTTCTGAGGGCCGAAGGAACACAAACACGTGTACATGCATATACACATGGGCTGAAGGGAATGGACCTGAGCCTACAGCATTTGCCAGGGTGGATAAAAATGCAAGGCATGCCAGATATGGCCCACGGACCATAGTTTGGAGACCCCTGCCACATTTTCATAGCATTACTGATACTGAACATGATAAAGAGAAACTGAACATACCTTGAGAGGTTATCAACCTGAGAAGGGAAAAAAATAAAATAATATTAGAAGACTATATGTATTAAATACAGTTATTCACAAGGTAATGGTAATTTTAAAAAAATTGGATCTTTTTAATTTCTCTTTGTACAACAGACCAGTCCTTTCACCAAGCACAAGTGCTTCTCAAACCTTCTCTAAGTAGTTTGCTATGTACTGCTGAGAGAGATGGGGAGCTCCTATCTAAGACAATACAAATCTTGTTGGGCTTAGGACTGCAACATCTTTGGACTACAACATCTTTGTATGACATCACAAATATGAATGCAAGCAAACAACGTGGGAACAGACACACAAAATGGGATAGATGCCTGCCTTCCATAAAATATATATTCCTATTTCCAAGTCAGTGGCTAGAATTCCATTGGTGCTTGTGTAAAGTGTGCCTAACATAATTCATCAAATTCCAGCTAACACAACCAAGGGTATGCCTTGGTTCTGCGATTGGTTCGGTGCCCAACTGCACCACTAAGGTGTATTCCAGTGTCTCATTAAATAGGCACCATTAACTGTGGTAAGTTGTGCAAACCTTAGGCAAACATCAACATGATTCCAGCTGGTACTTAACTAAATTGATAGTTGTTATCTATATCTAATGCAAACGTTCTTCTCATTCTAGAAATAAGAAACAGCATGAAAGTGTGTGAACAAAACCAGTTATTGTGTACGAAAAACACTGTGCATGATGGAAGAGAATTCAATGGGAACATGAATGATTGGTAGAAAATTCAAAAACATTTGCTTATTACCTGTTCATAACAATTTTCTGTTCACAGGTATCTTTTTGTCTAGTTGCACACCAAATAACACACTTTTCCTTCATAGAAGTTTGAGTAAAAAGTGACATAATACATGTCATATAAGGCAAACACAGCAAAACCATTACCTGTGATTCTTTTCTATTTGTTCCCTCTTCTGAATCAGACTGGTGTTCCTGTTCATTTTCATCACTCTGAAGGAGACAATTACAGTTTTAAAATTAGCACGTATTTATATACCATGTCTACTCCGGATAAAAGAAAAAATCACAAGGAACATTTGCTTAAAATTGTTTACTTCCCTGTATTATCAGGAACTATTTCATTTGTAATTAGGAAAAAACTCAAATCTAGCTTCCTAATCTCTTTTCTCTTTTTCAAAAGGACAAGTGTATATAGCACTGCATGTACACATTTCCATGCCTTTAAAAATATTTTAAAATGGGCTTTAAATTCACTTCTGTTAATTTTTTTAGAAGCTATTATCTGATCTGTGCCATTGCTTATCTAAAAGCTACTCATGTATTTGCAAATATATATCAGAAGAAACTGTAAGAAATCAAAGATCTGACATCTTGTCCTAGTCTTAAGATTAGGCCAAGATAGATTTTGCTATTGCCCTAATCAATACCGAAATCTGATTGATTATGTTCTCTGCAGCCAAAGATGGAGAAGCTCTATCCACTCAGCAAAAACAAGACCTGGAGCTGATTGTGGCTCTGATCATCAGCTTCTTATAGCAAAACTCAAGCTTAAACTGAAGAAAGTAGGAAAAACCTCTGGGCTAGTCTGGTATAATCTAAACCAAATCCCTTATGAATACACA